GTGGTTGTACAAGAAATTACGAATGTACTTTAAAATTTGTTCTGCTGTATCATAATGAGTCGCACAGAACTACCCTGAGCTTTTTTGGTAGTGGTAACCATGTATCACGTGTTGTTGATTGTTTACGTTGAGGCAAAGGAGCTCAACGCTATTGTCCTTTGACGTCATTGCTGCAGATCAGTTCACCTCGACTTAAGTCATCTGGATATCAAGTAATGGATCGGTCCGTCCGCATTTGTTTACATGGAGATATACGACATTGGTGTATTCTAAAAGGGGTGAACGGATTCCGAAGGGTTACAAGATCCATATCAGCTTGACTGGTAGGCCACATTACAGCTGTTACGGCTGAATAGCGAGGATTGTTGACGTAGCTACACACATTGTTATGGGTCAGTTGAAAGGTGGACGGGTACGTTTTATTCCTGAAGTTGATAGGTGTATTTCCCCGAAATTTGTATTTATAGTGTGCACCTGCTTGGGCCATTGTGTTTTGCGCGTTCGAATTACATTCAAAACGACCGCTTAAGCCTAGTTCACAATTAAAAATTGGGCCCACGTGGCGCGTTTGCGGACTGTTTTTTTTGGCACTATCATACGGGACCTGGACGGAGACTGGCGGGGTTCCCGACGGCTGTCGGCCTGTTTAGGGGCACCACGTGGTCGCCGAATTGATTTTAACTCAAACTTAAAATCACCCCAGGCCCCAGCGGGAAAAGTACACCGAGACGATGCCGTAACCTAACTGGCGGGTCCCACCAGGCGCTCGGGTGGGCACCTATTTATGATAATGACATCTTCTGTGCTGATCAGTGCTTTACTTGTTCAGATTCTGAAGAAGGTAGTTATCCGACGTATTCACCGAAATGAATTAAAGTCGCAATGATGTTCTCGACATAGCTCCATCATCAGTGAGTCGTAGTGTCAATACACCGATCTGAGTCGCAACTTTAGCCTCAATCAGGGCCGACCCCACCATACCGGCTAGGGATGTACCAGCCAGGGACCCACCCGGATCATCCCTGGACCCCGCCAGGGACTCAAACGTTGCCCGGCCGGAATGCAAGAGCCGGTCGGTACCCTAGCGCATCCCACACGGCTTAAGACGGGAGACTGACCGGGCACCGGACAGGTCCCTAACAGAAACTGGCCGTCAAAGGGACCAAAAGCTTGTGAATTATAGATAGAAGCCGCCTCAACGCCCCGACAGGGAGCCATAAAGGAACGTTTAATTGTGACCCTATGCATGACAGCCGGCACACGCTCGGCTTAATGACCCCGGCCAGCGTCTACACCGAGAACATGCCGAGCAGGTCCCGTTTAAAAGGTGACCCCAGCTTTATCAGTGCATCGGACTTAAAGTTGCAATGGTGTTCCTTATTCCTTAACTCAATAACTCCATCATCATTGAGTCGTACTGACCACACACGGGCCTGCGCATCAACCCGGGGTGAACCCACCATCGTCTTTTGCGACGCACCAGTTCTAGCATCTCTTCTTCAGCTACCAATTCTACAATACCTATGCTGTAACGGTGACACACTATTGCAAACTTCAGTTTACTGTTAACGTGACGTATCGTCTTCGTACAGAAAGTGAACGGTAACAAGCAGAGCAGCGCTTATGTATATAAACCACCAAGCCTTTATACAAGTATATAATATAGATAGATATATGATAGTAGATATAGATACCGCCTCGAAAACACGACGCCATGGACCCGCCAGGATCACCCCTGAACCCCGCCAGGGAGCTGCCCCAACAGCTGCCTGGCGGATGAAAGAGCCGGTCGACACGCTACCACACCCTTCAATGGTCAAGACAGGAGACTGACCGAGCATCGGACGGGTCCCTGACAGAAACCAGCCGTCAAACGTAAAAAAAATGAGCACGGCCAGGCCCCGACAGGCAGCCGTAAAGGAACCTTTAATTGTGACCACTACAGCCAGCGTCTACACCGGGAATATGCAGCGCAGGCCACGTTGGAAATGTTAGCAATAAATCAGCATGAGCCATTCGGTAACATGTACAACAAAGTTCGGAAAAGATTTGAAAATTGGTGCAGTTCGTGATTTTAAAAACAACCTAAAGAAAAATATCTAGGACAAAACACTTAGTGGACCTACAGAAACAAGGTCAAAGCACAGGGGAGTGTATCCCCATCACGCCTTGTCATGATATGATTACATGTTGGAATATAAAAAAAAGTGCAAGAAGGGAAACACGCACTCACCCACTAAGTTGGGCTGAAGCGAAGTAGACCATCCCAGCAAGTAGCAGCAACGGAACGTAGAGAGGCTTGTCCATTTTGGATGGACTTCTCTTCATGTACCGTCCAAACTCACAGCTACTCCGAGCACGACACAGTAAGTCGCAACACAGACTCAGCTCTTATTTCTGATCGCGTCCCTGGGACTTTTCAACCAGCTAATTTGGACGAAAAGGAAGTAAATGTCAATCATTTTTCATCCAGGCCAACCCCTCGTCAACCTGACACCTTCGTGTCTTTGTCCTCTGGTCATGATCCATGTTTTATGTATACTTGAACACAATTGAGAGTTTACAACCCACACTAAGCCTTTGCCCAGTCATAAAAACAGGACTGGTGTTGTGTTTCCGGTGTTCGGAGAAGGGGGCAATCGTACCACGAATTTGGGAACGTTTGACCTTTTTTTTCAAGGCCACACCGATTTAATTTGATGAATGACATTCGCGCGCGAACTGATATTCGCCTCTTCTCGAAAAAAAAGAAAGAAAAAGATCACGTCCTCCGAACATCTGGCCTGGCTCTAGGCCTGGTTATTGTAGACAGCGACAATACGAAGCCGGTGGTGACACTGGAGGATGGCACCCAGGCTACTGAAGCTCCAGGACTCAGTACATCAGTACATACGTACAGTGCTGATTCATAAATTACCCAAAAGGCCAGCATGTTCCGCCTTGTCGTATACGGCGTTATGTACTGCCGCAAATTCACAATTATAGCTTTGTATTCCCGTGGTTAAGTAGCATTTTTATTTTGCCCGGAATTTTCTTTTACACGCCCGCGCGCACTAGTTTGGAGGTCTTCAGAGGATGTCATCCATAAAATGAAGTCGGTGTGGCCTAATTTGGATTAAAAAAAAGTAAATGCCAATCCTTCTGAGGTACGTTCAGACCACCCGGTCCCTCGACAACCTGACACCCCCGTATCTTTGTCCTCTGGTCATGATCCGTGTCGGCTCTTCACCCGAGTATGTACACTAAACACAGGCCTTAACCCAATCATAACAACAGGACTGGTGTTGCGTTTCCAGTGTTCAGAGAAAGGGACAATCGTACCACGAATTCGGTAAATGTTGTCTGCTTTTTTTGACAAACCTCAGTCATACCTGACCGTAATGATCATGTCTGCATAACATGTCCATGAAAAAAAAACAAAGAACGAGACAACAACAGGACATCTTTTCATTTCTTTATTGTGTAACTTATAGCCACACATTGTAAACAAAATCAAAGCAACAAAGCAAACAGCTCATCCGTGTACCGCTCCACACAAGTGATAGGTGCTGGTTGTTACTACAATCTTGGATCCTGTATGGGAAATTCTACATTTGACCTCGTACCACGACTCATGAAATAATGAAATACTTATCACTTAATACTACACTTCAGCAGCGCTTAGAGCTCTCCCAATCATTGCCAGGAGCCATGTTCAGTGTTTTATAAGCATCATCTTGTACGGGCGGCTCTTTCTGAATATCAACATCCAAGTTAGTCGGAAATGCAGAGATTGTACCTGGGAACGAAATACCAGCTTTCCCAACGCCTACATCATCCTTATGCGTTATATCAACCTCTGGCATTCCGGCTACAACCGCAAAGCCCGCCGTAGCTCTGTAACCTTCCGTCGCCGCATACGGGGGCGGTGGGCTAGGCGCTTCGCGAATTTCTTCAACGTAAATGTTATCGTAAGTGGGATTTCGCCAGGGCATGTGGCTGTAGCCGGGTTGTCCGGGAGCTCCAGTGTTTGCGAACCGTTGCTGTCGGCCGGCTTCTGCTGGTGTCGTCTTCTTCTTCTTCTTGCAATAGATGAAAATGCTGAAGATGACCAGAAGCACCAGGGCCCATCCGCTGACTGTTGCCCAGATCCTCCAGTCAACGTTCTGGCGCCCTGGCGATCCCCCTGGAGCTGTAAGGAACAAGGAACATCATCATCACCGTCATCGTAGGCGGGCCAGGAACAGTGTTACAAACCAAACTGGACTTTACAATAAGCCTTACAATGTGTTTCACACTTTTCCCACACATATATGAATGATAAAGAAACTGTGAGGGGGGGGGGGTAGAAAGGAAAGAAACATAAACAAATACTTATTGCATAACGCCAACCTCGGCCTCTTTCATTGTACTTTGAAATAGAACTAGCACTGCACGAAAACCTAGATTTACCGACACCTGTATAGTTGTGTAATGTTAACACTGCTTTTTCTTTAATAAACACTTCTGAACTTTCAATGGTAGTAAATGAAGGCCACGTAGGTGATACCGGACTTAAAAAAGGGTTGTAAAGGAAATTACTGCAATTGACCTTTATTTACTACCATTGCAAAGCCAGATACTGTGTACATAGTAAACATTACCTGAGTTTACAACCTTTGGTAAATATAACTTTTCGTGCAGTGTAGTGAGAGAAAAAGTAGGCCGGCGGCCTGGTGCTTTTAAAATAGAACAAAAAAATGTATTTTCATGTCATCAAAAATGTAGTTAAATGTAAGAGTAGTGTTTTCACATAGATACCGGGAAAACCAAATCTAAACATGAGAGAAAAAATAAAACTTGATACATGATGTTGAAGATCAGGCAGGTAGAAGGAGTACCTACAAGTAGTTCTGTCGGTCCTCAGTAGTCGCCTTGTAGTCATGCTGGCTGTAGTTGTGGTTCTGGTGGTTCTCTGTGTAGTTTGGGTTGTTGTAGCTGTGACACAGTGTGCAGGAATCTCTGTAGCTCCCTGTGGCGGTACCACCGGTGTACTGCTGATGTCGGAGGTTGGAGAACTGACGCAGTGTGTAGAGTTGATGAGGTGGAAGCCGTCGTCACAGGAACAGGTGTAACATCCATCGTTGTTGTGACAGTTGTGGTGACACGCGTGGGTCTCATACCAACACTCGTCAACGTCTGCATTGGTGTCAAATTATATCCTATTTACCCTGGATGCCAAAACTAGTATCGGGCCGTTAGCTGTTTTCCTTCGGCAGCTGAGAGCCCTTTGCCCCCCCTGCCTAAATTAGCGCTACGGGGGAGTTGAGCCCGAGGGGTTTGTCCGGGTAGGGCCAGCCAAACTCCCCCCGGGCTAGACTCCCCCGTAGCGGTAATTTACACCAGCGGGCGAAGGGCTCTTGTGGCCCAGAAAACGAATTCTGGATTCCAGGGTATATCTTATTTAGCGTGTATACATTTTTCAGTCATCAATAGCTGCGTATACATTTTTCTATTAATTGTTTCTCTATGAAGTATTGAATGAACTGTAGCCCTTTTAAATGTGGCAGCAGGTTTTATGTATCTCTGTATGACAAAAGTTCTGAATGAACTTTAAACATTTTATAATTTTGTATTTTAGGTGTTATTAGATTTATCCACTTGATTGATCTTAATACCTTCTGTAAAGTCTGACGCTAATTCAGTCTGCTGACTGCTATGTCAGATTGTGTTGAGTTCCTCCCAATAAACCAATCATAATCATCACCATCAACTAATGATGGAGAAAAATGGAACGGACACTTTTTTAAAAGAGGGGTATACTAGCCCTTGTCCTGCTGGTATTCCTGGTAGAATATTTTTCAATAATTTCATGTCTTAATTAGATCATAGACTCCCAATTTTTTTGCCCTGCAGTTGCATAGTTACTTCCGCATTCGTTTCGCTGCGGTGTGATGCATTGCACGAGAAATACCCCCAAATCGTACCTATACAGGGTGTAATATAGATGGTACTGTATGTGCCGCGCGACATATGTTGCGCACAGCAGGACAAGGGCTAGTATTTGTCCTTTGTCTAAAGAAAACGGCTTCTTTTGAAAATGCAGTTTAAGGAAGACTTCCTCGTTAGTTGTTTAAAGATTTTGCTCCGAAAATAAAGAAGCTGTTCCTTTCTGTCAATAAGGAAGTTTGCCTTCAAAGGGACCTTTGTGCAAAGGTAATTACTTGCTTGAAAAGGCTGGGAAGCCTTTTTCAAGTAAAACATCTTACCTTGACTACAGTCATGTCCTTCCCACCCAGGCTCACACTCACAGACGTTAGTGTCCACACAGGTGCCGTGTACACATGGGTAGTAGCAGTGAACTGGAATATGAAGTAACCAAATTTAGTATACAATAGACTTATGATTTTGTAGGAAGATGAAACATGAACTCAACACACATATATCGCAATAGAAATATATAATTATGTGATGACCATATCATATTTCCTTTACTTTTAAATCTTATAGATGACTAATTTGTCACTAAATGTTCACTTTGTACAAACTCTATCGAGAGCTTAGGTGGACAATTTTATTGTGACTGTGTTATTTTACTGTGACATATAAATTCTCATACCAAGAGTCGAATGGGTAAAATGAGTTGCCACGAAGTAGTTCACCTAGTTCTGACTCCTTACTGTAAACAGGACTGTTTATAAAACAAAAACTCGTGACAGTGCATCACCATACTTACCGCAGGTGTCCCCAACTTGGTCCCATCCGTCACAACACTGACTGCCGCATACACTACCAGTAGGGCTGGAACAATAGACAAGAGTTTGATATATTATTTTTTTTTTACTTAGTGCTTAGTGGACGCCACATAACACGGCCGTTAGGCCACTTCAAGGTGAATGGCGCTACCACCTGAACGGTATGACCACTCAACTGGGTTACGGAGTAGAACTGTAACAGCAACTCTTCTCCCTGAGTCAGGAACATCACGATTGATACCAGCCCAATTTCTAACAAGTAGTGACGACTATCTAACCCAATAGGAGAAGCAGGAATTACGAAGCTGGTCGAGAAAATTCCCTACCCTATTATGAACAAAATACATCTTAATTCCTACAGAATTAAGCCAAAATAACGTAGCAAATAAAAAAAACAAAACTACACATTTAAAGTTGAAGTAGACATATACGTTAGCCAGTGTTGTCAAGAGAGTGGTTTTAGAGAAGCTAAGCAAACACTTCACACGGCTATCAAAGAACTACTTACCCAGTCAAAGCAAAGGTGTTGTCAACTGCCACAACAACAAGGAGGGACACATCGTAAACAGCACTGGGACCCTTTTTCTTCATGTTGTCAGTGGTGCTCTCTGTTTTACAAGAAGGAACTCGGTCTTCCTTGAACAGAATACCGTCCAACCGCACTTGGAAGGCGGTTAGCAAATACTTCATACGGCTATTAAAGAAGTACTCACCCAGTCAGAGCTAAGGTGTTGTCAACAGCCACAGCAACAAGGAGGGCGACACAATAAATAGCACACGGACCCCCTCTCTTCATGTTGTCAGTGACGATCTCTCATTTTTACCGCGAGTAAGGAATTGAGTCTTCCTTGAACGGAATACCGTCCAGCCGCGCTTGGAAGACGGTTGTTGTGCAATATACACAGCTACTTCCTCCTGAGGTGTAAACATATTTAAGTCCTGGCCAGAGCGACATACGTCATTGTTGTGGTAGTTACATGACACCGTAAGGCTATTGTACGGGACGTTATTGCTAAGTGTTGCGCAACGCCCTATAAAGTAACCTGTGACCTGTCTAGTGAAAGCATGTTGTTTAGGAGTCTGGTCTCGTGTTGCAGGTTGAGTAGAAAGACGTGTAACACCGCCACCTGCCTGGTAGACTGCACAAAAGAACGGGCAGACGTCATATCACAGTCTGACTCTGCCGGGGAATACCGCATACTCACCCGGCGTGCTTTTTTTAGATTAGGCCATGTTGATTTGATTATATGGATGACATCCTCCGGGAGCCCCAAAACTGATGCGCGCGTGCGGATGAAAAAAAGGTTTGCAAAAAAAAAAAGTTCTTTTCATTATGAAATCTACGTGGTCATGAGGGTTGAGCAAATGGCACAGAATATGGTTTGGCGAATAATCTAGTCTTCAAGTTCATTTCTTTACAATTTCGTCTTTTTTCGTTTGATTTTTGCATTCTACGACATTGGTATAGTTTTTATTATTATTTTTTTTGTAACTGATGGTATATTTTTGCTCAATTTGCAACTGTTTTGTACGATTTACAGTATGGTTGAAAACGTTTTTTTTTTTTTGGGAAACGGCCGAACATTCATGCGCGCGCGGATGTCATCCATATAATCAAATCAACATGGCCTTACTTCCACCCCTTTTAAAACAAGGGTCTACGCATTCACCCCACCCCCCTTCTGGAACTTGTAAACGGTGAATCGTATGGCCAACAAATTTATATGGGGTATGGGGTACAAGTAAATCACAAAAACAATTATTCCATCTTAAATGACATTGTGATGCTATTGCAATTTTAATTATAATTATAAGTGCAAAGTTAAAAGAGCTTCATATTTGGTTCTCGAGAATAACAGAGATGTCACCGAGACAAGTCTACTCACATCAATCAAATCTAGTATTAGAGACCAGTTTAATGTTAAAAAAAATAAAGGCACTCTATATGGTTCAGATTGTTTGGCAACACAGTTGACCATTATACTAATTATAATATAATAAAGATAATTATACAAATCCCGAAGTAATATGATTTTGTCACATTTATCCAAGAGGCGAGTATTCATATCCTCCCACTCCCGTGAAATGTTTTTTAGACAAATATTAGACAACGAAATGTTTTTGTTCAATTGTTCTTCAACCACACAGGGTCGTGTCCTCTGCGGCAGAGTTGTTCAAAGCACGGTCAGACGAATTGCACGATCCCGAATGTCAATCACAATTAGAAGTTCAACCAATGAGAGAACGGCAATTAGCGGTTCGGCCAATGAGAGAGCGACTGCATGTCCGTCAGCTATTTGCATTTCAATGTTTTGACGGAAGTGGGCGGGGCTTCAGGATCGGTCTATATTGCCCGGAGACCCTCTCTACGTCAGTCGACCGTTGAAGAATTTCCACAAGACACTGTGATGTTACAATTAGTGTTCGGAAAATCTTGACACAGCCCGTGGCCCGATCTTGATGCTAGCGTTTGCTTGATTAACAGATGGAAATCCACGTCATCGGGATCACATGTCCTGTTGAAAGTGAACTTCTCATCTGACCGACTTTTGTCTGTTGACATAGAAATTACAAATTTTTATTAATCGTTTCCTCCCGACATGAATGAAGAGCCTTTGTTTGAAGTCTAGCTTTTGAGTATTACATGTTATGCTGAGGTCACATTACCAAACCGGGGCCCGGCCGGGTGTCATTTGAAACGAAAAATATGGTATAAAATGCAACAAAGCACAGGAAGGTTGAAACATATCAACAATGGAACTATTTACGTATCTTCTTGATGAAAATTGTTGATTTTTCGTTAATCGAAAAAGCCCGGCCGGGCCCCGGCTTGGAAATGTGACCCCAGCATTAAACGTGACATTCTTAACCAAATCATGATAATTTCATTCAGCACTATATCTTAAATTGATATAGACCATCAAATCTTGTTGGTAGATATAACACCAGCAGGACGAACATTGGTGGCATTCTGTAATATCCAGGCCATGTAGACACTAAGTAAATTGTAGAAGTACAAAACCACTCTAAGACATTCAGTGCAACTCACCAGTGCAGACTACGTCCTTGTCAATTCTCGCGCCTGTCCAGGTTGCCGAATCGGCAATGTTGCACTCGAAGGTGTTTTGTCTTCTGTGAATTTTGCCCTCCTTGCAGAAGAGCGTGCATCTCCCCATTAGGTCCTCCTCGTGGCAGACAATCGCCCCAAACTCTGGTGGCTCGATAATGGGGCACTCTACACCAACACACAAAACAGTATAATACTGACCACGTATTCTTTCAAATACATGAACAATATAGAGTAATTTGTCACTTCTTCTTTGTTGCTGTGATGAGGTCCCTCCCTGCCCCAACGACTAACTACGCTATGGGAGTGAGTGAGTGAGTGAGTGAGTGAGTGAGTGAGTGAGTGAGTGAGTGAGTGAGTGAGTGAGTGAGCGAATGAGTGGGTGAGTGATTGAGTGAGTGAGTGAATGGGTGAGTGAGTGAGTGAGTGAGTGAGTGAGTGAGTACGTGAATAAGTGTGTGAATAAATGAATAACTTAATGAGTCAATGAATGAGGGAATGAGTGATTGAGTCAGTGAGTTAGCGAATAAGTGAATTAATAAATGGGTGAGCGAGTGAGTGAGTGAGTGAATGAATGAATGCATAAATGAGTAAATGCGTGAGTTTGCTTACTAAATTTTTTAGCAATCTGTTAAACTTTAGGACACCGTCAGCTGCCCACTGGTCACAGCCTTTAGGGTATATGATTGCGCTACTGGTATACGCACATACTAAGTGACAGATAAAGACAACATGTATTAGTTAAAAATTTTATTACCATACTTGAAAAATCTATTTTATCTCTTTTCAGCAGAAATGTGAATTGACACATATAAAGTGATTAGCTATGAAATAAAGACTAAGCTTTAACATCCAGCACATAGGTATAGAATTGGGACTTACCCCAAATTTTCGGTTGACTCCTTCAACCTTGTTCACGGAATGGACCCGTCTACTCTTGGAACGTTTCAAGAGTTCCAAGAGAACCGAAACCTGGTTCCACCAGGGTATACTGACATCAGAATACTTCTGTGCCCAGTTTAGTGTTCATAGACGGGATAGAAGTAAAGTAAACACTCGCGGTGGGGGGGTACTTATAGCCGTAAGCAGTGACTTAGTAAACAGCCGTGAAGAGACTCTCGAGTCCGACTCAGCTGAGACACTCTGGGTCAAGATCACCATGCAAGGTTGCAAGACATTATATGTTGGTGCTTGTTATCGACCCACTGAGGGCGATGACACCACCACAGACATACTGGACCACTCATTGCGAAGGATCTCCTCTAGCGATAAGAACATTATCCTACTTGGTGGCGACTTTAACTTACCAGGCTGGGATTGGGGGAATAAGACATTGAAACCCAAAACCAGTCATTCTGCAAAACACAGACAATTTGCTGATTCAATGCAAGATAATGGCCTCACCCAAATAGTGGAAGACCCAACTCGCGGTGTAAACACCCTGGATCTCATACTTACAAACCGCCCGGCACAGATAAACAGAACTCAGGTAATCCCCGGGATAAGTGACCATCTTGCAGTATACACAGAGTTGGAGGTGAAACCTCTGAGGCGGCGGCAAATCCCGCGCAAAGTCCCTATTTATGCCAAGGCAAATTGGGAAGGCTTCAGAGAGTTTGCAAATAACCTAGCTGATAAAGTACGGGCCGCAGAGCCATCATCTAATATAAACCACCTCTGGAACATTTTGAAAAACGGACTCCTTGAGAAGATAAATACTTACATCCCACATCGTACAACTAAAAGAAAGGACTCTCACCCATGGTTACACCCTAACCTACGACGTAAAATCAGACACAGAGACAAAGCATATAAAGCTAGTAAAAAGACTGGACGCCCGTCTTTGGAGGCAAAATTTCTGAGGCTCAAACGCGAGGTACAGCGTGAGCTGAGGAAAGCCTACTGGGAGTATGTAGAAGAAATCATCACTCCAGAGAGTGACGAAAACAGTGACACATGTAGAAAGAAGTTCTGGAAGTTCTGAACTTCTAAATGCACAGTTCCACTCCGTGTTCACACGTGAGACTCCAGCAATACCTACTCGACGTGGTAGGAAGACCAAACCTATGCCTAAAATTAGTATCCACAAACAAGGAGTTCTGAAATTACTACAAAACCTTAATCCAACAAAAGCTGCTGGCCCTGATGGCCTTAGTCCAAAAATCTTTAAAGAACTCTCTGAACAGCTAGCTGATCCCTTGACACGAATATTTAAAAAATCACTCTTAACAAGTAAAATCCCCGATGACTGGAAGCACGCAAACGTGACTCCGATCTTTAAAAAAGGCCAAAGGTACGATAAAGCAAACTACAGACCTATTAGCTTAACCTGTATTGCTTCTAAGTTAATGGAACATGTTATTTGTAGTAGCCTGATGAAGCATGCGGAACAGCATGATCTCTTCTATCAGCTACAAAACGGTTTTCGACCCGGAAGGTCATGTAAGACACAGCTTCTGGAACTTGTTCATGACATTGTAAACAACATGCAGGAAGGTCTCCAGACAGATGTCTGTGTGCTTGATTTCTCTAAAGCCTTCGATAAGGTAGGCCACAAACGACTCATCCGGAAGCTTCAGTGGTACGGCATTGAACCTCAGATCAGGAACTGGATAGAAGACTTCCTTCATTGTCGTACCCAGTCAGTGGTCATCGAGGGGTGACTTCTAGCAAATTGGATGTCACTTCAGGGGTCCCACAGGGTTCGGTGCTCGGACCTTGCCTGTTTTGTATTACATAAATGATATCACTGAAAACTTACACTCTACAGCTCGCTTATTTGCGGACGATACCATGATTTACATGACGGTCTCATGCCAGGGTGACTCACTGAAACTCCAGAACGACCTTGATACTTTGGCAGAGTGGGGGGAAAAGTGGGCTATGGAGTTCCACCCTGACAAATGTGAAGTGCTCAGCATCACCAGAAAGAGAGCTCCCATTGTCTACGACTACTCCCTGCATGGGCATATTCTCAAACATGTCAGCTTTGTCAAATATCTTGGTGTCCTCATATCTGGAGATTTACGATGGGACCTTCATATAGATCACGTATCCTCAAAAGCCAACAATACCGTTAACTTCCTGAGACGCAATATTAACATTGCAAATCCACAGGTCAAAGACCGGGCTTACAAAACCCTAGTGCGCCCAATACTAGAGTATTGTCAGACGGTATGGGATCCTTATACCCAAAGTAATATAAGGAACCTGGAGGCTGTCCAGAGAAGGGCAGCTCGATTTGCCCTCCGCCGCTACAGACGGCAGTCTAGTGTGTCTAACATGTTAGTCACACTCGACTGGCCTTTGCTCGTAGAAAGGAGGCGAAACGCCCGCTTACAGATGTTTTATAAGATCACAAATAACATTGTAGCTATGCACATGGCGCTAGCAAGCAAGGGGCTACGAGCTCCCTCTCGCACTGAAAACAGCTTAGCCCTCCACCCTCCAAGCTCACGAGCTGACTATCACCTAAATTCCTTCTTCTCTAAAACTGTTAGAGAATGGAACCGCCTACCAGATAGTGTGGTTAAAGCCAAGTCACTGCAGGCATTTAAA